GACTCCAACGGAATGCCCATGTTGCTCTGTGTCAGCTGGATGTGTCAGTATGCAGTTGTTTTCCATAACAACTGCGTAAGCTAATGGTATGTCAGGCTGTCTTTCTGTGTTCGTTTTTTAACCACCTACAGTAGTGTTCAGCCAGGCTAGCAGCTCTGTAAGGCTGTACACAGCTGTGCTTTGGGCAAATTGTCAACATTAGCATGCTAACATGTGCGCAACAACAATGTTAAACATGCTGGTATTTGACAGGTGGTGATCATTTTAGTTTTGTATGTTAGCACGCTAACATTTGCTAATTACTACTAAACATGAAGTACAGCTGAGTACAGCTCAAGGGAATGTCATTAGTCGGATATTTGTCAAAATATTTCCGTCCGGAACAACCAACCAACATTGCTATCCATAGAGCCAGTGTGGCTAAAGATCTTGTTTGGTGTGGTCGCATTTATACAATATAGTGATAAATTGAACTGTGTGAGGGACTTTAAATTATCCTACACAGCAGTATGCAGCCCTGGACAGGTTTGTAAAGAAGAACAAGCTGTGTGCAGTTTACCACTGTACTGTATCATACACTAAGATCATGATGGGAATTTCAAATCAGTTCGTTTCTCCTTGCTGTCATTTAAGGCTGCTTCTACCTCACAAAGTTGTATAGCCTTGTATAGCTTTGAGATAACACATGGAACTACGATGCACATGAACTTTATTGTTTTTATTTTTATTTTTATTTTTATTTTTTATTTTTTTATGCCTTTTTTATTTGATAGGACAGCTGGAAGACAGACAAGAAAGGAGGAGAGAAGGGATGACACGCAGCAAAGGGCCGCAAGTCGATTCGAACCTGTACTAAGCAAGGACTCAGCCTCAGTACATGGGTCGCCAGCTCTACCCACTGAGCTAACCATCAACTTTTTCAGCCCGAAATGCTAGTTGGTTATTCTGTTAACTGAAATTATTTTATTATTATTTTACTTATGAAAGCTTGGCAGACTTTTACTCCCCCTAAATCTTGGAATATGATGCCAACAATCTGCACAGACTTTTTCTTCTGTCTTCTCAGTAACATACAGTATATGAGCGTTAGTGTGCCCAGCTTTTGGCACATTGTGTTCTTCTGTTTCATCACTTTCTGAGGCTGCACAATTTTCTGCCATGGCTTAGACCACTTTTTTGCTCGGACTAATGAGGTGAAACTACAGTGTCTTCATTATTGTGGATCATGTGACTCTATACTGTAGCCCAATCTTATAAATTAGACTAGAAAGTCTGGCCTAGTTTTAGTAACATATTATGCCCAGGACAGCTCTGAGACAGAGATTAAGATGCATTATTTTTCATCTGTCCTGTTTAATAACTATAATAAAGACTGGCCACCAGTTGGCTGGTTGGCAGATACAGCTAACCAGACTACCCCTCCCTCACTTTTTCCTCTGAGCTTCACAGAGCTGAGGACCAGTTGGCTTAGTACCATTCTCACACTTCCTAACCACCTGTCCTGCTCACAGTCAGAGTGGCAGCATGGATCAACTCTGCTTGGCCCACAGCTCCAAGTAAGCTACGCGGGACTGAGGAGAGTGAAGCCATGGCCGTAGACTTTTATTATTATATTATCACTGGCACCTGGACACGGCTAATCTGAATGGTCAGAAAGCTTGTAGTGACCTGGCAAGGCTTTACAGGGTTGGGTTGGCATCTACAGACATTCAGTGGGGCAGCAGTAGACCCTATGCCAGCTGGCAAGGCACTATGGTCAATACATAACATGACACTGGTCTAAAGCCTTGTAAATGACCAGTAGTGCTTTGTGCACCATTTCCATTTATGATTCTCATAATCTGCTATAAGCTGTATGTTCTCACACAGAAATAGGCAAAAAAATGTCCTGTGTGTCCAAATAAATAAAGCAGGTCAGTTCTGATCCACATTTATCCATCTTTAATCCACACTTTCTGTTCTACCAACCATCATCCACCATCCATCTATCCTGTCCATATTTGTTCTCAGTGGAGGCTCTTCTTTCCTAGCGTTTTGTCAGAGGTCTGATGGTAGAGTCACATATGTTGCTCTCAGCCAGAGCAGGTGGCTAGCTGTTGGAGAAGAAAACACTCAAAACACTACTAACAGTTATGCATATGGTACAGTCCTTCCAATGATCCCACCAGCCATTGATCCACTCATTCATTCATTCATTCATTCATCTCTCCATCTATTCATTCATCCTTCCATTACTCCATTCAAACAAATTGATTCCCAATAGCTATCCAAACAGACAGGTTCCATTATTGACCCAGTCATATTGTTACTCATGGCATATATTAGTCCTTATCAGGGAAGGGGTAAAAAGTGCTGGAACAACTCAAAGTCCAGTGTGTAACATTTAGGAGGCTCTCTTGGCAGAAATGGAATATAATATTCATAACTATGTTTTCATTCATGTATAATAACTTGAATAAACGAATCATTGTTTTCGTTACTATAGAATGAAATTTTAAATGAAAGAAATTTTTATCTACAGACATGATGAACTGCCATGTTTCTACAGTAGCCCAGAGTAGACAAACCAAACACTGGCTGTAAATAGGTTCTTTTGCATTTTTCACAAGTTTCACAGCCACTGTAGTTTCTCCTAAATACTTCACAGCCTGTTCTCCATTCCAAGTCATCAAATACAGATGCGAGCAGTGTTCAGTTAGATGCAATCTGCAACTTCAACGTTGGATTCCACTAAATCCTATACACTGGTCCATCAATGCAAGAAATACTGGTACATTGTAAGTAAGTACATATAAAAATTATAAACAAAAGGAAATATTTGAATAAATCATAAATCAGAGCAGGCAAGACCTTCAGACCATCAGAAACTAATATTCTAAATAAAAAGAAGCATAACTTAAATCTATATGCATTCATTCATTCATTCATTTGGACCACTTGAGGGTAGTGTAGTGAAGAAAGAAATAGCTGTAAACACAACATTGACATGTTATCACCGTTTAACTGTTGTGGCGAATCGTATAAAACAGTATTCACTCTATTAGCTCTCTTTTGGTCTTCACCAATTTTTGAAAAAAGTACCCCTTTTACCTCTTTAAATAACTCTTTGGCTGCTAATTCTTTCACTATGTTCACCAGCTAGTTGCTAAGCTTACTCGTGTGCTGTATGGTGCTGGGCACGTCTGGTTTGTTTATCAGAGCTTTCATGCTTAAAACAGCTCCTTGCTGCTGAGAGTGAATGAAACAATGAGCTAAAAGGTGCTAAAATGCCCTGTAGAGCTGAGGGGAACCGCAGTATTGGGTAATAATTCTCAGTAGAAGTCCTTCTGTAGTGGATTCTGGATTACATGAATTCCTGCAAAAAGATAAAATGTGACTCTTCAGTTAAGTTTAACGAGAATGTTACTGTACTCTCCCTGCCGTGCCCAAGTAATTGCCCCTGCCATTTCTAGCTTTGTTGTTTTCTCCTCTCTCAAAGCGACTGATGGAGCCCTGGATGCTGACACTAACATACAACATAGACCCAGATAAAGCTGACAAATGAATTGTCTATCAATTCATTTCCTCTATTAATGACATTTATGTAACATTCTATAATGAGGAACAGATTGCTCGGTGTTGGTAGTTAATAGCGGGGTGGTTGAAATGCTTTATAGCAGGTGTCCAGAGGATCTACAGCAGCTAAGCCCAGAGCTGGTTCTATAAAGCCTCTCTTGCTCAGAATCACTGTCTTTTAATTAACCAATCCTCCGCAGAGACATGGGGAGCGTGGGAAGTGTGCGACACATATGCACGCTTAACACATTTGCAGGCTGATGTGAGTGTGCGCTTAAATAAATGTAAAAAACCTACTCTCTCTGGCACTCGCTTCCCTCTTACGATATTTTACGCGGAAACTCTACGTCAGCCTGGATTGACGCCAAAGCCAACCCTTTCTACTTCAGAACAAATGAGCAGATGCAATAAACTGTGTCACCCAGTGAGGCAGCCAGCGAGCCAGTCAGACGGTCAGCCTTGTTTTTTCTCATCTTTCAATTCCACTAAAGCAAGGTGCCTTTGAGACTGAATGTATTAGGCAGGATAATCGCCTCAGCCTGTCAAACCTTCAGGCTTTGTTGAGGCTACAGAGAAGATGAAGACAGTTCACAGAGTGGAGATGAAGGCCGAAGCTAAATGCTTTGACTGGATGCTATCTTTGCTGCTCCATTTCCATAATCTGACTCATTTAGTGTAAAATTTGAAAAGATGAAAAACGACTCCATAAAACTGTCATTACTTACAAATAACTCACACCAACCAACTTTGCTGGGAAAATATACGTCAGTCCCATCAGCATTGGTCTGAGCTATGAGCTGAGCTGGGGCGTGAGTGGTTGTGTATGTTCTTGAAATAATAAATCCACAGGCTAGCATGGCTAACCTAACAGATCAGATTAGTATCAGTGAAATCACAGCTGATTAGGGTGTGTATGTGTGTGTGTGTGTCCTAATTTATGCACTCTGGAACATCTAAATGAATTTCCTATGCTTTATCCTCTAAAAACATAAGTGACCTACTTTAGACATTATTACTATTTCCCCACAATCTCAGTTTTAGAGCTTTTTTTAAATCCATTTGGATAAGTGTGTGTGAGACGGAGGAGAGAATGAGGAAGAATATGCATATGTGCATATTTGCTGGAGAGTGGTGTGTAAGTGTGCATGCTCTCATGATGAGAGTGTGTGAGTGCGAGTAGAGCGGTTTTAAATCTCCTGGTAGTTTGAAAGTTGTGGTGGCATTATGTGGACTACTGATTTGAGGACTTTGTGTGTGTTTGTGTGTATGGAAGGACACATTATATGAGTTAAACAAGGAACTGAGGCTCCGGCCTGTGGGACAGATGAGTCAAAGACTGCCCACAATGTTTCTGCTTCCCATAACTCCTAATTAAGTTACATTTTGTCTTATTTTTCTTTCACCCACCCCTCCCTCCATCTTCCTCTCTGTCCTGTTTCCTACAGCTAAGGGAGGTCACCATGAGTCAATGAGACGGGCTGTGCCCTCCAACCTCTCAGCCACCCCTGGGACTGGCAACGGAGCTGGGTCTGAAGACAAAGATGCAATGGATGGGACTGAGGGCGGTCCTGGAGCTGGACCCAGAGCATTGCCTGAGGGTAAGGTGTTTGCTGGGGCCAGAACAGCGGTTTGGACTGAAGCAGAAGCAGGAGCACGTGTGGCAGGTGCCAAAGTCTTTGCAGAGACTGGGATTATGACGGGGAGAGGCGCCTGGGCTGAAGTCGGGGCTGAATGGAGACCCAGGGATGCAGAGGGAGGTAACCTGCCAAGCATGCCCAGGGACGCGGCTGCCTGGCTGGGGCAGCAGAGGCTGCAGACACGTGGAGAGGGCCAAAGAGAGCAGGCGACCTTCTCATCAGTCTCCACCATGCTGGCAGAGACGGTGGAGCTGCAGGCACCAGTGTTAGAAAAACCTTTAGGACTGCTGTCTAAAGCTGCTTGGGCCACAGGCTCCTCTTCATCATCATCCAAGGCCTCCTCCTCCTCCTCCTCTTCCGCAACAAAAGCCTCTTCTTTGCCGTCCTCCTCCTCCTCGTCCTCCTCCCCAGCCAGTAACAGAGACACTGAGACAGCAGGATCAGGCAACGTCTCTCTGGTTGTCGTCAACAGCAACTCCTCCAACAGCAACAGCAGCTCCAGTTTGGGTATGGTGCAGAGCTGTTTGGTCTTTTACAAATTTCAACTTTTTGTGGTGCAATTCATCGCTTGTTAAACCCCTCCCCCGAACAGCAATTGGCCAATCATGGCTTAGCATCCATACACAGCACAGCAGACCTGTCAACCTTAGATTTCTCCACGTGCCAAAACAATGTGCATGGGGCTCTAATAAGACACATTTGTACTTACAGCATTGAATACAACAACAATGAAGATCCTCATTTCCATGTCCTACACAAATCATCAGTTGGTGAGGATGTTGACTTTTTACCTGGGACAGGAAGCTTTACCTTCAGTCTTTAAGCACAATTTTAGCTGATAAAATCTGCTAGCAATATTGTGATTTTAGCCAATGAATTTAACGATAGTATGGAAATGAGAACCCTGCTTTGGTTTCAGAAAAAACTAGTTTTGATGGTAAAACTGTCAACGTCTTTGTAAACTGAATACACTGAATACATGAGAATGGAAAGCTTGACAGGCAACAGTGAGTAAGGGGGGTGGGCCTTGCAAAGGTCAGTGGTTTTGTTTAACCTTCAGCCTTTTTGAGTAGTCGTTAATAATCATTGTCATCATCCTCACCTCCATGTTTCTCCACTTCCTGTCATACCATCATCACAGTAACAGTGACATCATCAACCAGGTAAATCCTCAACATATATTTTAGCTTCCAACACAAGAATGAACAAAATGCATTATCCGATTGCCCAGTATTTCCTGTCACATCGCTTCACAATACAACACGTCCTCATGTGGTGATGTGAGGGGAGGATAAGAGGGATTTGGGATCACTCTCAGTCTGAATGGATTGATTGCCTCCCTGTTGTTTGCTCCAGCCTCCTTTACACCTCTCATTGACATGTATCCGACTTATTTGTGTTGTCTAGAGATGATTTAGATGGATTAAATCAACCCCTGACATTAAAATGCTCTTCTCCCTTGCACATTGAAATTGGATTTCTATTTTCTGCGCACTTCATCTTATGTATTTTCAAATTGACAATAATACTGACATTTATGAGAAAACTGACAATTCAATCTTGACAGGTTTGTTATTAACCAACTGCCAACTGTTTTATTTGCATGACTT